ACTCTGGCCAACAACTATCATGAACAACTTAGGTCTTTGTACTCTAGACAACAACTATTCTGAACAACTTAGGTCTTTGTACTCTAGACAACAACTATTCTGAACAACTTAGGTCTTTGTACTCTGGCCAACAACTATTCTGAACAACTTAGGTCTTCGTACTCTAGACAACAACTATCATGAACAAATGACTCTACAGTTTCCTTCATAATGTTAAATTTCCTTCACAATATTCAGTTTCCTTCGGTAGATTATTATCAGCACAAGGAGGGAGGTAACACAAAACTTAAAACTACCCAGGCCCTACCCCAGACCCCACCCAGGCCCTACCCAGACCCCAGACCCCAGGCCCTACCCCAGGCCTACCCCAGACCCCACCCCAGACCCGGCCCACCCCACCCCAGGCCCTACCCAGACCCCACCCCCCTACCCCACCCAGGCCCCACCCAGACCCCAGACCCTACCCCAGACCCACACCCACCCCCCACCCCAGACCCACCCCAGACCCCACCCCACGCCCCACCCCAGACCCCACCCCAGGCCCTACCCCAGACCCCACCCCAGGCCCTACCCCAGACCCCACCCCACCTACCCCCCAGACCCCCACCCCAGGCCCTACCCCAGACCCCACCCCACCACCCACCCCCCCAGACCCCAGACCCCACCCAGGCCCCACCCAGGCCCTACCCAGACCCACCCCAGGCCACCCCAGACCCCACCCCAGGCCCTACCCCAGACCCACCCAGGCCCTACCCCAGACCCCACCCCAGGCCCCTACCCCAGACCCCACCCCAGACCCCACCCAGGCCAGACCCCCACCCCAGGCCCCACCCCCCCAGACCCCACCCCAGGCCACCCCCCCAGGCCCCCCACCCCAGGCCCTACCCCAGACCCCACCCCAGGGCCTACCCCAGACCCCACCCCAGGCCCTACCCCAGACCCCACCCAGGCCCCTACCCCCCAGACCCACCCCCCCAGGCCCTACCCCAGACCCCACCCCAGGCCCCCAGACCCCACCCCCCTACCCCAGACCCCACCCCAGGCCCTACCCCAGACCCCAACTCCTTCAGTAATGCTAATATTGAATTTAATGACTCTGTTTACTTAATATCTTGTCCGTAATTGGTACGCTGTGCACTGCCTCTGAATATTTAAACTGGGTTGAACTTTTAATTTTATTTATTTTATTTATCTTGATACGATATACACCTTACTGGCTGGTTGTACGGGGCTGTGTTCTTTACCTGAGACCCGTGAAGATAACAGAGAGAGTATGATTAAGAAAAAAGGGGTACTATTTTTATTTTTCATCACCAGCACCAACACTCCTCATTCACCCTCACTATCACCAACCTCCCTCCTCCCCTCACTAACACCAACACTCCTCACTCACCCCTCCACACCAACACTCCCTCCTCACCCTCATCAACACCAACACTCCCCTCCTCACCCTCATCAACACCAACACTCCCTCATTCACCCTCACCAACACCAACACTCCCTCACTCACCCTCACCAACACCAACACTCCCTCACTCACCCTCACCAACACCAACACTCCCTCACTCACCCTCATCAACACCAACACTCCCTCACTCACCAACACACTCCCCCATTTACTGACATCACACCCTACACCCACACCTCCTCCATCCTTCCTCCCTCTCATCCGTCAATACACCTCAAACCAAATTACTACACCTGTAATTTATCACGTTAAGGTAATAAATACCTTGGGTGTTCCCCTCATCACTCACAATTTCCCTTCAGCGCCACCCTCAGTTCATGCCCTCACTCAAGGTATCCATTAACCTGTCAAAAGCAACCGTAGTATAAATCCCCCCATATTTATTACAGGTAAGAGAGAACACACCTGCTGAAACGCTCTGGCATTTAACTCTTTTATGTGTCACCGGTGATTTGAGAATAACATTTTATCTCTTATGTCAAGGTTTATGTGGGATTAATCTCGTGAAGGTTTGTGTGGCGCGATAGATTTATAATGTTTATTTTAATTTAGGTATGAGAGGTGATGGTGGGGAACAGACAGGCATGATATAATGGTTGCCCCTCGTGGACTGAGGATGGCCGGCCCTCGGGACACCTTGGCGTGAATTTGTTTAAGGTGTAAAAGCTGTCGCCAACACAACAACCACACACTAAGTTAACGAGTTGCATGACACAGTGTCGAGGAATAGTCCTAGAAAACCGGACAACTCGCCAACTGCATTGGCTAACCACTACCCCCGGACCCCGATTCACAAATCGAATTAACATCCAGGTTCTCAATTACTGCTGGGTAGACCGCTTCCTCCATACAATTAAGTTTGTTTAGTTAATCATAAAATCTTATTTGACGAGGCTTTATTTTTCAGTTAAAATTTATTGCCTCTGTCTCACCCCCACCAGGGACTTCCTCTCGTTACATTCATCTCCCGGGAGAGGATAAGTGGCGGCCTCTAGCGTAACCCTCTTTCTTCCTGCCCCGAGAACCCACCTCCTAGATGCCCCGAGAACCCACCTCCTTGTTGCCCTGAGAACCCACCTCCTTGTTGCTCCGAGAACCCACCTCCTTGTTGCCCTGAGAACCCACCTCCTTGTTGCCCCGAGAACCCACCTCCTTGTTGCCCCGAGAACCCACCTCCTTGTTGCCCCGAGAACCCACCTCCTTGTTGCCCCGAGAACCCACCTCCTTGTTGCACCGAGAACCCACCTCCTTGTTGCCCCGAGACCTACCTCCTTGTTGCCCCGAGAACCCACCTCCTTGTTGCCGGAGAACCCACCTCCTTGTTGCACCGAACCCACCTCCTTGTTGCCCCGAGAACCTACCTCCTTGTTGCCCCGAGAACCCACCTCCTTGTTGCACCGAGAACCCACCTCCTTGTTGCCCCGAGAACCCACCTCCTTGTTGCCCCGAGAACCTACCTCTTTGCTGCCCACCATCCATCACCTTCATGCGAGGATGGTGAGGCCTCCTCACGCTGACTGAAACACACCCCTGACCCAGAGAAGAATGCAGAGAGGAGAACCAAAATATCGATCTCCATAATAACGTAAAGGTAAGTCTCCTATCCATGGTTGACACACCCACATCCCGAGCCAGGAGAACAAGACGGCTCGGAGAACTTAGTAAGGATCTTTGTAACTGTATCCATACTTCTCAAGCTCACCTGTGCCTCCCCTGCCTGGTCTTCCTCCCTTAATGCCACAGAACGGAAACACCTAGAAAAAGTGCAGAAGAGGGCATGCAAGATTATTCTCTCGGTTCTCTCTGACCATCACCGCGACATCATCTACAAGTATGGATAGAAGCTTCTGCACCATCCTCGCCACCGGCTCCTACTTCCACCCGAGATCCCTCGTCCGCGAATTGCGATTCGACACCACAACCACATCCAGCCCATACGAGCACGTACTGATCGCTATAAGAACAGCCCAGTCACAACCATTGTAAAAAGAATCAACAGCTCGTAATCAATCATTGTTTTCACTTTTCACTCCCAGTCAATCTTACCTTTTTGCACTGTCACTGTTGTAATGCCCTGTAGTATAACCTTCTCCCCACCTCGTCATTATATATCATATTTGTATCACTTATGATACTTGTATATTAGTTGTCAATCAAGTGATCCATTCCCCAATTATGTAATTGTATATTTTCAGCCTTCTGGCTGCCATGCCATCACACACGCACACACACACACACGCACACACATACGCACACACACGCACACCTTTTCTATCTGTCGCTCTTAGTCTCTTTCTATATATCACTGTCTATCTATCTCTTTCGAGAGAGAGAGAGAGAGAGAGAGAGAGAGAGAGAGAGAGAGAGAGAGAGAGAAACCCTCCCCTCCGAGTCGATATAAGAATCATGAACACTACCTTAATGCAGTACCCTTGTTCTTCTCGTCCCCTGCCACTGTTCTCTCTCTCTCTCTCTCTCTCTCTCTCTCTCTCTCTCTCTCTCTCTACTCTGTCTGTCTCTATCTCCTACTCTCTCTCTGTCTACTTGTCTTCCCCCTATTTCTGTCTCTCCTTTTCTTCTGTATCTACCCCGTCTCTCCTACGTCTTCTCCTCATCCTCTACTATCTTCTCTTTGTGTCCTATCTCCCTATTTCTCATTTATATGTTTTCATTCATTCATGGTTTAGTCACTAGTCTCATTCATTCATGGGTTATTCACTAATAATGTCACTATTTATTTTATCAGATATCTGTAAGGTTTATTCAGTCTCTTTACTTAGTCTTCAGCGTTTGTACTGTACATTGAACACACACACACACACACACACACACACACACCACACACACACACACACACACACACACACACACACACACACACACACACACACGCACGCACACACACACACACACACACACACACACACACACACACACACACACACACACACACACACACACACACGCTACTCCCCCTTCCAGCCTATAGCCACCTTGACTAATCTATCGTCCACCTTCCCCTTGTCAATCACCACTTCACTAATCCATCTTTCTTGGACATTTCCTCGCCTCCTCCTCCCTTCCCATCCCTTCTTGCCTTTCAGCTGAAGTAAAAACTCTCAACCCTCTATCATTATCTCTCAATTCTAAGTTCTTTCACATTGTTTAACTTTGGATACTTGATTATACTTGATTATACCTGATTATATTTGATTGGTTGCTGTTTCTGTCACATTATTCTCTCAGGCAATGTGTTGTTTATGTCTACTTTCCCTGAGACAGTCTTCACTATCTCCTCCTCGTCCAGGTTATCTTCGCCACTAACTATTATGTTTCATCCATCTTAGGGCTTTTTTTTCCCTCATTTTTTCCCTTCATTATTCATTATGCTTTTCATTATGGCACCTTCCTTCTTAGTGTTTAGTCCCATGTGTCAACACCACTAGTCCCCCGCCCCCCCTCCAGGCTCAGGACCTCCCCACCAGCCTCTCCCATTGTCTGGAATTTAATCATCCTTGCCTCAAAATCCTCTTCATATTTTTCTCCGGAGTTAAAAGATTAATCCCTGGGAGCTCAAGAGGCGTCTAGCTAATCCCTTAAAAACATAAGGCAGCCACGTCCTAGTGAGGGCCAGCGGGGGCCCTCTGTCTTGAATCCCTAAAGTGGACCAACGCGATATATTGGCCTCTTCAGTTGTAGTCCACACCAAAATGTGTTGACATTACCAACACCAGGCGGCCACGAAAGAGGGACTCCACTAGCAGGACAAACAGGCCGCTGATAATGAAAAATTTTCCACCACATCCTTTCTCCCCCAAATATGTACTTGATTGCCCAAGAAAATGGTGTCTTTCATGGCGACAATTGCCTGTTGCAGCGACACAAAACAATTTTACAACAGTGTGGTGACTGTGATGAAATAAATTTAGTGTAGTTTTAGTTTGGCATCTCCTTAAAGAATTGATGAAACTCTAAGATAATTTCTATTCTCGTTTATTTATCATTAGAATCAGCGATTTTTTGTATCTAAGAAATATAGTCGTTGTGTGAGGTGGAGGAAGAAGCAGTGGCTGCCAGGACGGACGTACGGACGGTCACTGTTTACAACATTGTCTCGTGTGATGGCGGAGGAGAGGCGTTGCCATGGCGATTCACCAGTTTTAAAGGACACCAACTCTCATATCGTGTTTCTTATGACGACCGTGAGCGACACATGCACGAGGCGAGGATGCATTAAGATATTAAAAACAAGGAGGGAGATCTTACCTCACCTGCCGTGTCTCTCACACAATTACCTTTTATTCTGCTCCCTCACCTGGGTTTTTTTCACTCATTTTTAGTATTGTAAAGTGATGAAGTTATCTCTGATTCTTCCTTATCTCTTTCTCCTCTTAACTTTATTCTCTTCAATTAAGATAGTACTTCCTCACCAACTTCAAGCCAGTGTTGCATAATGTACTCATTTACTTTATAGATCGTAGCCTTAAACACACACACACACACACACACACACACACACACACACACACACACACACACACACACACACACAGCAGCGTTTCAACAACAGCCTAAACTCTCACTTAACCACCAACACGTTTTTCGTACGCACAACTATTTTCATCATTTATCTTGCCATAAAAATTACTTGCAGTATCACCGTCTTAAGCCACAGTTTCATTTAGAGGAAAATATAAGAAATCCACCGGGAAATTAAGTTAGTGTGAAAATAACTGGCCTGGGAAATCAAAATGGCTGGTCAACAGACGACACGGACGGAGGACGATCACGAACACTGACGTTCATTCACGAACTGAGTTGACGAATACACGAACAAAAATACAGGGTCAAAGGTCACTCAAGTATAAGACAGTAGTTCTGAGATGAGACATACAGTAAGACAACAATGATGGAGTTGTGTAAGGTTAACAAGAGTCAAACTGTATGTCTGGACCACCTAACCTAACCTAACCTGAGTAACGCAGACCAATAAACTCACCTGAAGACTTCCCCAAACAGTCACTAAGGGTGAGGTTACTACAGGAGTTACAGGAGGAAAACCTGATATGTCCTTCAGTTCACCTCACGAAGGAGCGGATACACGGTCCTCTACTCTGGACGGCAAATTTACCAGTAGTTGCCAGAGACCTATAGTAGCATTCGACTGTGCTACCAACGACTGACTCACTAATTAAAATCACTGACAACTAGAAACCATCCCAAATAGTGGCGCTGTTACTGTTAATTAAAGTAGACATTGCTGAAGACTCTCAAGTCATCATTTTCTTTAACCACTAAAAAACCTGTGATCGCACAAACCATTATGGTAGCAACACGAGGTCAATTTTGCCATGACTTGCCTGTGGACCTCATCACACCTTGACCAAACCTGCCACGTTTGGTTCACATCAGCAAACCCATTCTCGAATTCTTTTAGAGACACAGAGACAGACAGAGGACCGAAAAACATTACTCTGCCACCCGGGACAATAAATAAATAAATAAATAATGGCAAGGTCGACGACTACTTGAGTGAAAATATCACTGTGCAGCACGACACACCGTGAGAGACGACACAGACCAGCTCTCACCCTACTGTCTTACCAACCAAAGGAATCATGGATGAAAATTAACGAGAGTGACTTCCTAACCTAAACATTTCGATAGTGTTGGAAGGAAACGAGTGACTGAGAATATAACAACACTCGGGGATATATCGCGTGCTCGACTATCAGATAACTGTGGGAATTCTAGCTTATCTTTGTGTTGTATTGAAATTTTAATCTACTTACTGTTAAAGCGCCAGTGATGTGTTCGCCAGCACGGACGCTCGCTCAGACTGGCAGAAGACGACAAATGTCACACAACACAAACGATGGACCTGTGTGTTATGGGAATTTAGAAGCATTTAATAAAAAAAAGTTTAAAAACATGAGTCAAATACCTTAATATATATAGAGAGAAAGGGAGAAATTTGGATAATATGAGAGAGAAAAATAGAGAAAATAAGAAGGAAAGCGGAGAAAATGAGAGAAAAAGATGAAATCAGGAAAGAGAAAAAGTAGTAGAAATTGAGAAATAGAAAATTAAAACAATAAAGAAGTAATGAAAACGAAAGAGCTAAAGAGAGTGATGAGGAAAATGAAGATATAATAATACCATAAAAGAGAAAAAAGGAAGAAAAACTGTGTCAAGGAGATGAGGGTAGTGGGCCCACCTCTCTCCTTCGTCTCACAATAACAGGAGACTGAAGACCCAAGCCATTAGGTGAGGGAAGGCAGAGTTCATCTCCTGGTTAACCTGAAGGAAGTGCTGACGATTTACATTTATCACCCTTGCAATCTTAAACCACGCCCACCACGTCCCCCCCAGTCTTGAACCACACCCACCACCACCACAGTCTTGACCCCGTCCCCCACAGTCTTGAACCACGCCAACCACCACCACCACAGGATAAAGGTTATTCTACTCGCTCACGAAAATCCACG